CCTTTCTTCTCTCTGGGCATCTCTTCCTCTGTGATAGCCAAGGAGGACCACTGCGTCCACCTCCGCTTGTTTGGATGAGAAGACTCTGGTCCCGAGAGAGGAGCCAGAGGCCAGGGCCATCCCCTGCTTCTCAGATGGAGGGTCCCCGAGGGGAGCAGCCCCCAGGGAAGCTGTCCATCAGGAAGGCCTTGCTCTCTCCGGTCCCCTCCCCAGCATCCCTCTTGGAGCATGGGGCACAGACAGGGACACTCAGCAGTGCACTGACTCAGGGCATCTTTATTAAGCACCTACTGTATGCCGTGCATACAGCAGGAAACAATAGGGGACAAATGTTCTGCTGACAGAGAGAAGGATGAGGAGAAGGATGAGGGACACAGAGGATGCTGGGGGACCGCTAAGGAGTGACGTGAGGCAGGGACGTGCTGTGCGTGGGGTGGCGAGGGGAAAGGCCCTGGGGAAGGGAGAGGGATGAGGGAGCCCACGGCAGGGCAATCCATGGGCCTTGGGGGCATGCCCAACCGGGCTGAGGGAGTCAAGGAGAGCTTCCTGGAGGAGGCAGGACATTTGTTTGGGGTCTTGAAGGCCAGAAAGTTCTGGCAGCTGAAGACGTTAAGAAAGGCAGTACCCTCTGGTGGTCCAGAGCCCCCCACCCTTTGGACCCGAGCCGTGTTCAATTCCCAGGTGTCACTTGTTTCCTGCAAGAGAGTCGCTTCACAGTTCTGCCCATTCCCTCCTCCTTAAGACAGCAATGCTATTAGCCCCTCCCTCCATGGAGCTGACAGGACAAAATGGGGCAGAACAGCCCCTGGACCATGCTGGCTGCTGCCCGTTGGGGAAGGAGCACATTCCTCCTGGTCCCCTCTTCCTTCCCACTGTCTTCCAACACCCGCACACTCAGTTTGGTCCAGATGCCAAGTGATTGACGGCCAGGGACACAAGCGTCCTTGAAAGAGATCTGCAGCCTCCCATCGCCCCCCAGGGTCTTTGCACATGCCGATCGTGCTCCATAGAACACCTTCCCTTTCCCATCACCTTTGCCTGGTTCCTTCCCAGCCAGATCGCGTCAGAAATCTCTCTTACTCCAGGACAGCACCTCCGCACCCCGTCAGGGCAGGACTTCCTGCCTGCTACTCTCAGAGCCCCAACCCTTTTCTCTCAGCTCTTGTCATAGCTAGGAGTAGCTTCTGCCTCGGCCACTAGACCAAGAGGCTGTGTTGTTCTTGCTCATGCTGTGTCCTTGGTACCAAGGAGGCTCTTAATCCACAGTTGTCAGCACAAACCACAAGCCTCGGTTCCAAACGGCCCACTCCAAGCTGTATCTGCTGAACTCTGTGCCCAGGGAGGAAAGAGACCCACCACGTGGCCCAGCCGGGCTCTGGCCCTGAGCTTGGTCTCCTCTGAGGTACCCACACAGCTGCCTAACCTCCTTGGTCCCCTTGGGCCCCCAGGGCTCCACCTGCCACCTCCCCAGATTCGTGGTGCGCCAGCTCACGGAGGACGCACCGGGCCAGAGCACGTTTAATTTTAATTTAGGAATCGGTTAAGGCTGCAGGCCTGCTCGGCTCCGGGCTGTCAATCAGCCTTCCTCGAGGCTGCATCAATTAGTTTAAAAATATTGAATGTAATTTTGCCTGACACAACATATTGCAGCTACTGCAAAATATAATTTATTTTAGAAGAAGAAATAATTAAACTAATTTGCATGTCAGTCAGCTGAACTGAGATGCCAAGGGGGAGGCTGTGGGGGACCAAGTCCCTGGAGGGCACCTGCCGCTGGGCACTGGGTGAGGTCAGCTGCTGGGTCTGAGCAGTAGCTGCCATCGAATGGACAAAACTCAGGCAGGAGAGCCGGGTCCATTATATCTGGACCAAACCCTTAGAATCGGGAGACTCGGGACCTGACCCTGGGCCTAAGGCAGACTCACCTGACTTGGGGGAAATTCCCACCCCTCACTGGGCCTCAGTGTCCTCATCAACAAAATGGGTTTAACAATCCCCCTTCGGGGGTGTTTGATACTCACTCAAGGTCACCCATAAGGTGCTATGAGTTGGAAAATCCTGCACGGTGGTCAAGGGTGGGCAACTGAGGGATTCTTTGTTAACAACACAAATTTATAAGATGATGAACCTAGAAATTATTATCAAATACTAACTGTAATCGGGGAGTTGGGAGAAGCCAGTCAGAGGTGACCTGCCGGTCACCCTCGGTCACTTGTTGGCCATCCTTGACGCCCGTTAGATTTCCCTGGGGAACTATTGAAACCACACCGGTGGCCGAGCACCCTGCTGGCATGTGTGAAAGGCTCCTCAGGTGCTTCTTATGGACACCCGAGGACCGAGGGCCGCTGCCCCCGTGTCAGGGGCTCGGGGGCGGCTGAAAGCCCAGTTCCCCAGGACAAGCTCGGGGCGGCAGCCACAGCAGCGTCAAGGCCCAGCTCCCTCAGGGACCACCCTGTGGATCTGAGACCATCATTCATGCCAACACGGCCAGGGCTTTCCAAGAGGTGACCTATGGCATTTTTTAAAAGGTCATTGGAGCGGCTGGGGTGGTGGCTTGCTTGCCTGGCCGGAGTGAGGCCCTGGGTTCCATCCTCAGCACCACAGAAAAATAAATAAAGGCCGAGTGTCCGTGTTCAGCTAAAACATATTTTTAAAAAGGAGGCAGGAGAGGCCCTGGCACAACCCGCAGCAGCGGTCAATCCTGGGGTCTCCTGGACCAGGGGCCTTCTGAGCACTCGGCTGCCCGGCCGTCTCCCTTCTGCGCGGCCCGTAGGACCCAGGCTCCCCGCCCGATGCCGCACCCACTGCAGGGGGATGCCCAGGAAGGCCACTCAGGCCCCGCGGCTCCCACCCCAGCTGGGCCGCAGCCTGGGTTCCTGGCTGTGGGCCTCGCCCTCCTCTCCCCAGCCTCCAGGAGGCACCCCATCTGTCTGTGGGGGTTCTCTGGCAACACACGCTCTCAAAAATAACCCTGGCCCGGCCTCCCCGTCACGACTGCCACCTCTCAGCCCTGGAGGGGCCCTCTAATCGCTGGAGCTGCGGCAGATCTGGGTGAGCCGTGGAGATAAGGCGCCCCAGGCGGAGGGGAGCTCCAGAGAGGGGTCGGGAATTTCTGAGCTAAAGAGGGACGCCCCTCCCCGGCCCCCAGGAGCCCCGCCCGCCTCCGTCTCTCCTTTATCAACACACGAGCAGCTGCAGCGGCATCCAGCAGCCCCGGGTTCCGAGGAGGCAGCAGCCAACCAGTCCCCTTACCCAGAGCTCAGGGGCGCCTGGCTGCTGAGGGTTCCAAAGGCTGCCACCAAAATAGCTCCCGCCCCGCCCAGCCTGAGACCCCGTCACCCAAGCTGCCGCTGGGAAGTGGGGTGCCATTTCCCCATGCCCCCGAGGTCAGTGGCAGGTGGAACAGGTAAGTGACAGTCACAGGGTTGGACAGCTGAGGATGAGGTACAGCGGGCACTCAGAGGCCCAGGGCAGGGGCAGGCCAGAAAGGGACAGCGTGAGAATGAACAGCATGAGAATTCACCAGCGGGCGAAGCACTCCCACCTAGAGTCACTTTGAGGATGTTTCTTTGTTTATTTAACAAATACTTACGTAGCACTTGCTTTGCGGTTGTTCTTTGTTACAGTTTTATGTGTTTAACAAACATTCAGGCAGTCTCTCTCCTAGCCAACCTGTTGCTATGAGACCTGTTTTGCAGGTGAGAAGCTAAGGCACAGAGAAGTCAAGTGACTTGTCTCAGATCACACAGCTACTAAGTGGCAGGGTTGGGATCAGAACCACCAGGCTCAAGTCCCTGTTCTTCATCACTGTACCCTGTTCATTTCTCATGTGTGGAAACTGATATCAAAGAGGACGGAGCCTTGCCCAAGATCAAACCCTGGGTCAGGGTCTCAGTCACCCCTGGAATCCAGCCTCCTTGGGTCTCTGCCCTTCCAGGGTTTATTCCTTTGTTCAACCTGCTCTGCTGAACCATGCTGGGTCCTGCGACAGGACCCGGAGGTAGATAAGACTGGGGCCTTGACCTCGTGCACATCCCAGTTGCCTCAGCTGGCAGAATCCGCCTCCTTAGCCCGGTGTGGCCTTTCAGGATCAGAGGCCTGAAGAGTCCGGCCGGCAGCTGACCCGTCTTTTAAGGTCCCGTGTTCTCGTCTCCTCTTTGCAACGTGGAGACACAAACGTAGGGTTTCTGCACCGACAGCTGAAGAGATGGCTGTGGACGCTCCCGGTGCATCCCAGTGCTCTGGGTGGTGGGTCGGAGGCGGAGTGGCCACGATGGTGTTGCTGGGTGGAGGGTGACGTGGTGGTGACGCTGGCGATTGTGGCGAGGGTAAGGGAGTAACAGTGTGGCTCGTCACGGTGGTGGTCACTGCGGAGATGGTGTGGGTGAGGATGGGGACGTGATGTCGGGTGGCCACAGGGGACGCTGCTGGTGGAGTGGTGATAAAGGTGGTCGTGTTCTTCTGATGGGGGGTGACGAGAGCAGGGCCAGTGCTGAGGGTGCCCATCCCAGCTGATGGCCATGGTGGGGACGGCAATGGCGACGGTAACAGAGTGGGGATGGCGGCGGTGCGCTGGGAGCACAGTGAGCTGGGTGGGCGGAGCGCTGGGTGGGTGGGGCTTTGAGTGGGCGGAGCGCTGTGTAGGCGGGGCTAAGAGTGGGCGGTGCGCTGGGTGGGCGGAGCGCTGGGTGGGCGGGGCTATGGGTGGGCGGTCTTGTGTCGGCTGGGCGGGGCTATGAGTGGGCGGAGCACCGACTCACGCTGGGAGGGGCAGTGAGGACAGAGTCCAAGGCAGGGATGGTGTCAGGAATGATGAGGATGGCAGTGGTGGTCCTGGGGTTGACTGTTTGCAGCCATGATGATGCTCATGGCGGTGGGGATGGAGACGGGGATCACGAGTCCAGTTGTCCCTGGTCCTGGTCCTCTAATGCGCGTGGTCAACCCAGCGCTCTGTGCGACTCCACTGACCCTGGTCCTGGTGGCAGACCTTGCCCTGCTGTTGTCCCCCAGCCCTCACGCGGGACGCCCCTGCCTTCCTCCTGTGCTCTCGTTACAGACAATCACGCTCAGCTCTCCCGGGCGTCCCTGAGGATCCGAATCCTGGATGTGAATGACAACCCCCCAGAGCTGGCCACGCCCTACGAGGCAGCCGTGTGCGAGGACGCCAAGCCTGGCCAGGTACCCCTGAGGGGCTGGGGACGGGGCTGCTGCCAGGAAAGGCCAGGACACCCTCCAGCCTGGCCCAGAGTGGCCTCAGCCCCGTCACTGGTCCCTGCCCCCCCTGCCCTCCAGCTCATCCAGACCATCAGTGTGGTGGACAGAGACGAACCCCAGGGCGGACACCGCTTCTACTTCCGCCTGGTGCCCGAGGCTCCCAGCAACCCCCACTTCTCTCTGCTGGACATCCAAGGTGAGTGGCCTGTGAGCCACCCAACCCCAGGGTGCACCGAGGGCGGGCCTGGCCTCCCCACCCTCTTCCCGTCTTATAGATAGAGGGACAGGGACACCCAGGGGACCCACATTGGGTCTAAGGTCACAGAAAGACCGGGCCCAGAGGGGCTGTTCCCAAACCCACTGGCCAAGCCATCAAGGAGCAGAGGGGTTGGCAGAGCGAGGGGGCATCCAAGGGTGGAGAGAGATCAGTGGAAAGATCCAGAGAGGGCACGTGGCAAGGACAGAGTGAGGACCTCCTGCCATAAGCGAAGGTGGAAGGGGTCACACAGGCCGTCCTCAGACGGTGGCACAGAAGTGCATCGCCTGCCCCACGCCCTCAGCATCCCCACGGCCCTCAGCATCCCCAGGCCATCGGCATCCCCTGGAGGGTGGCTTTCCAGCCCATCTCCTATTTTTCAGGTGGTAAACCTGGGACTCTAAGAGAGACTTAAAGTCTGCCCATGCCCTCCAGGGAGCCAGTGGTGAGCAGGGCTCAAGGCCACAGCTGCCTCAGACACAGGTGTTTCTGCCCCAGCTCACAGCCCGAAGTCCACGGTCCTCCCACCTGAGCCTCAGTGAGCCTCCATCCCAGGGCTCCTCTGGAAGTTGTTCAACCCTAAGGGACGGACCCAGGGGGAGGCAGGCGCCAGTGCAGGGGGAGTGAGGGCCCTGGGTCCCCAATCCCTGGCAAGTGTCTGGCCCTCTCTGAACTGCAGTTCATCATCTGTAAACAGGGGCTAATAATGAACGAGAACCGCCCTGGTGGAAGCGGCAGTCTGCAGAGGCCCTGAGGTGGGAGCAGGGTTGGGATGGAAGGGGACCTGCTACGCCAGAGTGGGCGAGACGCAGGACCCTGAGGAAAGGGACTCAGAGGCGCTGGGGGACAGCTCACACTTGTTGCGTCTCGCCCTGGAACAGGTCTACCATGGACCCCAAGGCCTTTACACCCAGCCCATAAAGGGAAAGACCTTGGTGGCCTCTGAGGCCAGGCCCCTCTGTATTCCCAGGAACCATAGTAGGAGTATTTAACACCCAGCCTAGCAGCTCAGATAACCAGAAAAACCCTGACCCCAACCCGGACAAGGCCCCGGAGCCCCTCTGTGCCGGGCACTAACCTCTCAGTGGCTTGATGGTGTTAAAGATCAGAGGACACCTGGGGGACAGGCTGGGGCAGCAGGAAGGGCTGCACCAGGCCTTTCAACCTTTCTGGGAGCATTGCAGTGTTCTCACCGCGTACAGCGTACAGCGCAGCCTGCGCCGCTCTCCAGTGTATTCCAGGCTGGCCCAAGAGACGCAGCTACCCTGTCCCCAGGTTTACACTTCTTTCCGACACCAGGGGCCTGGGGTTGTGTCCTGGCTGCTGTTTGACTTGTGACTTCCAGAGCTTTCTCCCTGTGTGACTGCCTGGAGTAAGTCCCAGGGACAGCAGGCTGAGGTCGGACAAGCCACCTAGGTCTCTCCCTCCAGTCCCTGAGGCCCTCTCTGCCGAGTGCCAAGCAAGCCCCTCCTCCTCCCTGCATAAACATCCTAGGTGACAAACGGCTACCCCAACCCATCTGTTTCTCTGTACAAATTTGTAGCCAGTTTGGAAACGTGATTTATAAATATTGCTTTTGCAGCCAGGGATTGACACTGATGTATGTCAGGCCAGATGGATGGATGCAGGGCCGGGCGCAGATCCCACCTAGAAGGGTTGGGTAGGGTCTGGGGTGGCCAGGGGCTTCCCCAGCAGAAACCAGCTGCTGCCCAGGAGGGTAGCTTGATGAGTTCAGGGATGACGTGGGGGGAATCCCTTCTGCGGGGTAGAGGAGTAGTGGGACCAGAGCTCTCTGAACATATGTTTGCATGGCCAAAGACAGCAACCTGAGAGATGAACATCTCTGTTCCTGCTTGGCAATTTGAGACTGAGCCAGAGCCAGACACTCATTTCTCAAATCTGTCTACCCAGTTCCTCCACTACTGCAATTATCTCACCCAAAGCACGAAGCCTTCCCGGCTGCTCTTCCACGCCCATTCTGGAACATAAGATCATAAGCTTCCTGGCCCAGAAGGGAACCATGTCTGTTTAGTAATTGCTGGGTTCCCCTGGGGCTAAGAGAGTCTTGACTTAGGAGTGTGTTCAATGCATATTTGCTGTTGAATGAATGGACGATGTCATTAGGTCACTTATTTGCTTAAAATCCTCCAATCAATGGCCTATTGTTTTTTAAAATATATCCAAATTCCTTACCAAAGTCAGCCTCCAAACTGTCTGTGATGTGCTCCTGCCTCCCCCCAGCCTCCGCTGGGCTCGCTCTAGCGGTCACCCCCACCTCTGCAGCCACAAAGGACTGTTCCTTGGGCATTTTATGTTTCTTCCACCCTCCTGACTGTGCCTGGGCTCTTCCCTTTCCCTGAACTCGTTGCTCAGGACTCAGGAACAGTGTTCCTTCTTTCAGAGGCTCAGCCTGACCTCCCAGGCTGGTCGAGTCCTCTGGCATGTGCTCTTCCTGCCCTTGTCCCCCACAGCACTCGCCATGTTTGTAACTGTAGACCAAAGTGTGCGTTTGTTTGATTAGCATTCATCTCTCCCATTAGAGTGAGCGCTCCAATCCAAGACTGCAGGTTATTTAGCTCGGTGTTGTTTTCCCACAGTGAGTAGCATGACGCCTGGCCATAGTGGTTAATTAAGATCTGTTGGAAGAGAGGGAGGAAGGGAAGGAGGAAGGGAAGAGGGAAGGAAGGATGGAAGACAGGTAGATGGATGAGTAGGTAGAAGATGGAGGGATGATGGATGATGGATGGGTGAGGATGGAGAATGAAGGATGGATGGGTGAATGGATGGATGTACAGGTGGCTGGATGGACAGGTGGATGGATGGATAGATGGATGTATAGGTGAAAGGATGGATGGATGGATGTACAGGTGGATGGATGAATGGATGGATGGAGGTACAGGTGGATGGATGAATGGATAGATGGATGGATGTTCAGGTGGATGGATGAATGGATGGATGGATGGATGTACAGGCGGATGGATGAATGGATGGATGGATGGATGGACAGGTGGATGGATGAATGGATAGATGGATGGATGGATGGATGGATGGATGTACAGGTGGATGGATGGATGGATGTACAGGTGGAAGGATGGATGTATGTACAGGTGGAAGGATGGATGGATGGATGGGTGGATGTACAGGTGGATGGATGAATGGATGGATGGATGGATGGATGTACAGGTGGATGAATGAATGGATGGATGGATGGATGGATGGATGGATGTACAGGTGGATGGATGAATGAATGGATAGATGGATGGATGTACAGGTGGAAGGATGAATGGATGGATGGACAGATGGAGGAATGGGCGAATGGATGGATGGATGTACAGGTGGAGGGATGAATGGACAGATGGACAGGTGAATGGATGAATGGATGAATGATGAATGGATGGATGGATATACTAGTGGAGGGATGGATGGATGGATTGATGAATGAATGGATGGGTATACAGGTGGGTGGATGGATGGATGGATGTACAGGTGGGTGGATGGATGGATGGATGGATGGATGTACAGGTGGGTGGATGGATGGATGGATGGATATACAGGTGGATGGATGTACAGGTGGGTAGATGGATGGACAGATGGACAGGTGAATGGATGAATGATGAATGGTGGGTGGATATACTAGTGGAGGGATGGATGGATCAGTGAATGAATGGATGAATGCACTGGTGGGTGGATGGATGATTTCACTAGATTAATTCAAATGAGTCACTTCTCTTTGAACCTCCATTTCCACACATATAAAAGGAAAATAAAGTCCTGGGTCTTGCTCATGAGATTCAACATTGCTATGTACTTAAAGTCCCCACACTGTCCTGATGCATAAAAAGCATCCAGTCCGGGCAAAGAGTCCTCTCTGTTCCTTCTCTCCTCTACTTGCCCTTGAGCTCCTTCTTCCCCAGTCAAAGGTGATGTGTCCACAGCTGGGGTGACTCACCCCTTGACAGAAGGGCCAGAGTCCAAGCCACAGCTTGAGGATCGGGCACACAACCACAGTTAGCCCAAGAGCTATGCTTCCTTCAAGTGTCGTTCCTCAAGATGGGCTCAGTGCCAGGTCCCAGCTGGCCAGGTAGCAGAGAGGGGGCACTCACCAGCTTAATACAAGGTGACAAGGCTGCCACAGAACGGTGCATGGCATCTGCATTGTCAGAGCAGGGAGGGGGCATAAATCCTTCCTTCCCAGGAAGCAGAGAAAAGAGGCCACAGAAAGGAGGTGACATTTAGCTGGAGTGTGATGGATGAGCAATCTGCCTGGGCAAGAAGGTGGGGAGGGTGCGGCAGACAGCAGGAACTCTGTGAGGAGCTCGGGGAGGCCGGGCAGGGCAGGGCGCAGGGGAAAATGGGCGAGCTGGGGAAAATGTTGACCAGCATTTATGGAGAATTCCTTGATGCTGGGGACTGCTCTAAGGTTATGCGTGAATTATGACATTTAATCTTCACGTGTGATGCCCTTTTTCTCAGTTTACAATGAGGACACCAGGGTCCAAAGGTCCAGCTAAATTTCCCAAGCTAGTGAACGATGCATTCTGAGTACTATTTTAATATGTGCACGGAAATACTCAAATGTGTGTAAAAGTTGTAAAATAATATCATGGATCTTTCTGTGCCCATCACCTCATGGGCAGCCTTCAACTTAGCACAAACTTATCTCATCTGGACATCTGGTCACTTCCCGGATAATCCCAAGGTTACAAGCCAGTCCTTCCTGTATTATGTTCATGACAAAGAAGGTCAGGTCTGGAGCACTGAACTGGGGGGTCATCCAGGAAGGGGCTACTGGGGAAGGGATTGGTCCCCATCCTGAGGTCCTAGGTTTCCTTTCCAAATAGACCCTTTGGGGGGGTCTCACTTTTCTTCTCCATACAAGGATAGGCTGACCTGGATGATCGGGAGCCACAAAGCTGGAGAGGGAGCCAGGCTGCCCCAAATCTCAGGTTGAAGATCAAGCCCAATGACTGGGAGGGTGGGAAGAGGCCGGAGGACCTTCTTTAGTGAAGTTGGCTATGAATGGTGGGGCAGTGGCCAGCTGGGCTCCCAGCCCTCCAGATCACCATGATGTGCAGAACCCAGAGGGTCAGGGCAACGGAACCACACAAGCCAGGTGTGGAGGGGCAGGGGGAGTGGAGGAAGTAGGTGCTACCTGTCACCGAGCCTTTGCTCCAAAACTAGCCGCACCTCCCCAAGCCCCGCCTGGCTTCCCCAGCAACAGGCTGAAGCCATGCAGTGAGCACCATCTGTGCCAGATCACACACGGTCCTCTCCTGCTGCCCGCCTAGAAAGGAAAGATCTGCACGAAGAGGCCTGTGCTCTAGGGTCCCCTCCTCAGGACTCAGAGGCTGTGCACCCGGCCGTACAGGCCCAACCTCTTCACGAGAGAACCCTGAGTTGGTTCCAGGACTCTTGACTGGCGTGAAGGACAGAAAGGTTCCCCAACCAAAGGCAGACGCCAGCCAGCACTCCCAGTTCTCTCTGATGACCCTGGACTTGTCAGGGCCCAGTAAACCATGACAGAAGGGTCACAGGACTCCTAGGGTCGGAGAATATGGGGCAGCTGGAGTGGGACCCAGAACACAAGCAGGCTGTTGAGAGAATGAGGAGAAACTTTTTTTTTTTTTTTTAACATAGCTGGGGTGAGGACCTTGGCCCAGCCGGGGACAGAATCTTGGAATAGCTGGGGACAGTACCTTGGCACAGCATGGAACAAAATCTTAGAAGAGCTGAAAACAGCATCCCGAGGCAGCTGGGAATAGAATCTGGGGACAGCTAAGGACAACACTGTGGGCTGAGTGGCTCAGGACGGGATCTCTGGGCAGCAGGGGCAGAACTGGGGAGACTGGAGAAGAGACCCATGAGTCACGTGGGTGGCAGCTGTTGGAGCCCAGAGAGGCAAATCCCAAGGTGAATCAGGAGGTGGCAGGGTGGGGGTGGACCCCAGCCCGAGTCACGCTGCCCTCTTCTTCCGCTGCAGACAACACAGCCGCGGTGCACACTCAGCACGTGGGCTTCAACCGGCAGGAGCAGGACGTGTTCTTCCTGCCCATCCTCGTGGTGGACAGCGGGCCGCCCACGCTGAGCAGCACGGGCACGCTCACCATCCGCATCTGTGGCTGCGACAGCTCTGGTGCCATCCAGTCCTGCAACACCACGGCCTTTGTCATGGCTGCCTCCCTCAGCCCCGGCGCCCTCATCGCTCTCCTGGTCTGTGTCCTCATCCTGGTCGGTGAGTCCACCGGGGGCCTCCCACCCTCTGATTGGCCCCGTCCTGGGTCCCTGGGTTTCCTTCCCAAGTAGCCCTATGGGCCAGTTTCCCCCTTCATGGAGGTGCCCCGGCTGATCTCAAAGATGAGCTCGCAGCGCCCAGCGGAGGTCCCCTGGGTACAGAGCAGCCCCACACGCCCCAGAGTGGTCCCCGCCTGGGATGCAGTCCACGACCCCCACCTCCCACGTTTAGAAAACAGGCATGTCTTTTAACTCTTCCTCGGGGTCTGTAATCCTTAATTCTCCATAAAGACGAGGCACAACTGCGGGGCCAGGCACATGGCGGCCAGGCACGTGGTCCTGCCGTGAAGACCAGGAGGCCGAGGCCCCAGCTGAGTGGCTGGGGGAGGGTGGGCGACCTTCTCACCTGAGCCCCTCCTCTGACTCCACCTCCTGCTGTGAATTTAAACCGGGAGCCCAGCTTTGGGACCCTGGGGCAGGATCTTAAGACGTTGTGGAGGGGGTACCAATCTGGTACCAGTGCCATCATCAGCCCTTGAGCCCCAAAGTGTCCCTGAGAAGAGGTCAAGTTTCAGGAGCTAAATGGGATTCAAGCGGCCCTCGGGCTCCCATCCCAGGTGACCACTGATGCCCCAGTCCTGCCGCAGCTGGGCGACCCGGGTGTCGGGGTGTCTAGAGGACAGACAGCAGCTTTGCTCGGTTCCCCGGGAGCTGCCGGCGGCCCCCAGCCCGCGCTGCGCCTCCTCTGAAGGCCCGCGCCGCCCTGCGCAGTCCGCGCTCCGCCTCTCCGCAGGCCCCGCCCACCCCGCCCCAGCCCGAGGCTCCGAGCGCTGTTCCAGCGGGTGCACTTTACAGCGGTTTCATTTTCCGAGGCCGTGCAAACAAATTTCTGCCTAATTGCCCACAGACGAAGAAAGTGCACATCAGTGCTCTAAAGGTGACGGGCGGAATCGCTGATCAAGCCTGGCACATCTGTCGCCCGCCTCCCGCAATCCCCACCATCTGCTCTCGCGGGCATCCCCCTCTGCAGATCCGGCCTCCAGCTCCGAAAGCTGTCCATCCATCTTCCCCACTTCTCTCCTGACACCCTCCTCCCCTCCTGCCCTCCTCTGGGCCATTCCCAGTCACAAGCTACCTTGTTAGGTGGTAAGCCAGTAGCCTGCCCAATGGCCCCAGCAGCCGGCTCCGGCCACTGGCCTGGCTGGAACCGTCTGGAACAGCAAGAAGAGTCTAATCCCTGGCACAGTCCCCAGCATATGTCTGTCCATCCATGCATCCATTCACCCGCCCACCGTCATTTACTTATGTATCCATCCAGTGAGGCGCTGGATTCATCGGTGAACAAAAGAGACTTTTAAAAGCCCTGAGCAACTGAAAAGTCGGGGGTTGCCATTACCAAGATGGGAGATACTGAGGCTGGGGAAGGGGGGAAGATTATCATTTCCACTTTGGTCATGTAAGTTTGAGAGTGAGTCTCTTGGTCAGCCTAGAGGACATGTTGAGCAGGAAATTGGATGCACAATCTAGATTCCAAGGGAGCGTTTCAGGCTGGAGCCTGAGATATAGGAGTTGTCAGTTTCTAAATGGAATTTAAAGCCATGAGACTGGAGGAGAGCGTCAGGAGAGGGAGGTGGAGTCCTGGGACTTCTCATGTGAAGGGGTCGGGGAAGAAGGAGAAAGGTGCTCAGGCAATTGAGAATGAGCCTTCAGGGAGGTGAGAGGGGGAGAATGTGAGTCCTGGAAGCCAAGACGGAGCCAATTCATTCACCCCCTCACCCTTTCGCTCACCCAGGTGTCCATTCAATTATTCTTTCCTTCCTTCTTTCCCTCAGAGCATGCTTCACGTGTTTTCTGCACACGGGGCACCAAGCTAGGGCAACATTTCCAGGTCCTTGAGAGCATCTAGGCTGTGTATTTCCCCATCCGGGAGACAGACACGTGAACGCAGCAAATCTGGTCTATGACAGCCCAGAAGCTGCCTCTTCCTCACCCAGAGACCTTGTAGAAACAGAGTGCTGGGCCCCACCTGGCAGACCTAGGATGGACCTGAGGATTTGCATTTCTAACAAGTTCCCTGGGGGCTGCTGCTGCTGCTGCAGGACAGATGGAGGCACCCCTTCCCAGGGGAGCTCAGAAGTGAAGGCACTAAACCTGGAAGTCTGAGGAGACCTCAGGACTTCTGGAGTGAACCAAGGTCAAGGGTGAAGGAGAGATCAGGGTCAAGGACATCTTTCCCCCAAGCTCCGTCTGTCTTTCAGCTGGCTCCTGCGCCGCCCCAGCATCTAGAGACAGGGAGTATGTATAGAGTCAAGGATGGAGACCTCAGAGGCTGGACCAGACCTCAGCACCCACTAACCCTTAACACTGGTCGGCCACCTCATGGCCAATGCTGGTCTCGCCCGACTTGCCCACCTCCTGAGCGGGTAGCTCCCCACCTCTCCAGGCAGCTCAGGTCTGGCTGTCAAGAAAGGTGTCTTCTGAACAGGAATCTAGGAAATTGGCAAGATGAGGAGTCCCCTGCGCCTCTGAATGGTGGGGTGGGGGGGTCCCCTAATGCCCTGAGACCCTCACTCTGCGCCCTCTGCATCCCACAGTGCTGGTGCTGCTGATCCTCACCCTCAGGCGCCACCACAAGAGCCACCTGAGCCCAGACGAAGACGAGGACATGCGGGACAACGTCATCAAATACAACGACGAGGGCGGCGGCGAGCAGGACACGGAGGCCTACGACATGTCGGCGCTGCGCA